CTCGTCACATTATATTATTACCGCCTCAAACAAGTACAAAATCCAGTCCCGTATGTTTTCTTATTTTTGTCAGCACGAGAGCTTGATATAACGCGTCGTTAGATTTGGTCGCACGACGATAGGGTTGCGCCACACACCCCCGGGACTTCGACTAATTGCCTTCATTATTTACACAACACTTTTTTCATTTTTTATTGTTGTCCAATTAAACTAATTGATATTGTAGTGTTTGGTGTAGAATATAAGTAATTCTGTTAAAATATTTTTTTTAATCCTGTTCATAAGTATGGCAACTATTCAAATATGAATTCCTAACTTCTTAACTTTGTCCAATGTTCTCCGATTTTTTTGTCAATTTAATCTTGATTTAGAACATATATTATTTAGTCTAATTATTAAGTCCAAACTATATTTTATGGTCAGTAAAACCCCTAAATAAAACACAAAAACAATCACAAAAGCTCCACTTCAATAGAGAAACAAATAATAATTAAGTACTTGTTACTGGCGGCCCTATCGGAGGCGCGACTCGTTCAAGTGCCATTATAATGTGTACTGTTGTTTACACGCTTTGACAACCCTATTGTTTTACATGAGTGCCCCTACACGACACGGCCGGGAGTGAAATATTTTGAGTGATTCTCTTTTGTTTTTTATTTATTCAAATTTCGAACTGTCATTTTTATTTGCCACGCATTTTGTATGATTGGTGCGTTTTGTTGTCGTTGATTTTATTTTGTTTTACATTTAGATAAATCATTTTCGATTATTTTTGGATTGAATCGTGTTTATTACTTAAGTTTTAGCAATATTATAAAAATGCACTTTGAAAAGACCGTCCGTTTACTGTCACATATTCCACTACCTACTCCCATAAACTATCCTATTTTAGAACACAACAAAAATAGACGCTATCACAACTATTGTAGGTAATTGTAAAACGTAATAACATTTAAAAATAACCAACATCGCAATCACTTAACAGATATATTCGAATGGCAGGTTCGAGTTGGCGCCGCGCTCGTTCGCACCCACCTCGTCGTAATCTAATATGGCGGACAGCTGCTCCCAAAAGCTTCCTTTTTATATTTTTCGGGCGAATTATCACCGACACTCTGCAGCAGGACGAGGATGCGAATCAAATTGAAAGCCGACTCAATTATATTACCAAGCTCTTCTAGGGCTGGCAAAGATCGTATGTGTAAAGTTATAATGTGTGAGAAAAAATAAGTTAAGTGACTTTACATGCTTATGTTTCTGTGTAGATTGTAATAAAGTTTCAATATCTGTAATTTCAGCAATATTAACCTATTTACTTTAATCACAAAGTTGTGATGCAACATAACTACATATATGTTACGTATTTGATTAATCCACCCAACCATTGATCCATCAAGGAAATTCCTATACATAATCCCACATACCTCTTCGTGGTAGCGACACCCCTTAATCCCAGTAGCACGTGCCGTGAGGTGCGAGCGGGGGTGCGGTGCGCGGCGCGCGGGGGAGGGGTAACAGCCTCATACCGTAATACCATTCCGAGATGAGCGACTTAAACGCGTTACAGACCACCAGCGTTACCTGACCTCCCACAACCCCCGCAACACTCGCATATCCATCGATATTCCAACAATCCAATGAAGTATTGAAGACCAATCTTCTGTGGGCGCGTGCACGTTCAATTCTCAACTGTTTTGGTGGTTTTGGCAACGAACTGGAGTAGAGTGGGTTTTGACAATGGTAGTTAACTAATGGAAGTGGATGTTCGACGCGACGGACAAACGAAATTGGATATTGTCTTACGTGGGTCGTTACGTCGATTGGCGGAGTTACCGAGATGGGTCGGTCAATGGTGACGTGTGACATGCGACTGTAATTACGTTGGTAACTTTAGAGTTTCGCTGCAGTTTGGTATTGAAGTGGCTGTTACGGTTAAGTAAGTAATATTGGTAGAATAATGGATTACCTATCGGTTGGCGGTAAAGGATGTTAAAGTTAGGATTTATGACTAAGCTACGAGCTTAGTCAGGTGCCATTTTGTTGTACAGCTGGAGCTGAATAATATGATTATAATTTTTCTCTGTTGATACGTAATACATAATTAGAGATTGATTACAGGTCAATCAGAATACGAAAAGCACAAATAGAAGTTTTCAATAATAAATCTTTTCTACCAATAAACATTTTACGTGCAAAGAATCGGCATACAGAAACACTTAACAGCCATTATGATTGGACATATATGTGCAATAAAGCAATAAAAATGTTGATCGGGAACGACAGGGCGCTACTAAATTGTGGCATCCAACGAAATTGCCAATTTTTATTTGGATATAAATAAAACGCGGGACGGTAGCGTCGAGCAATTTGCTTAAAACAGCCGCTCACGTTACGGGCCCGACACGGATACTATACGATACGGGTTGCTACCGAATCTACCAGCTAGGGGTATGTGAACTACCGAAGTCGACCTCGATGGGTATATATGATAGTGATGCCCAGTATGTAGTTCTTTAAGAAAACCCGATTGGGGTATAGAATAGGGTAGATGACTTATTTTTATTTTAATGTCCGTCTGGTAGATTATTTTAAAACATTAGACACGTATTTTTTATTTTTTTACAGAAACGAATACTTTCGGTGATATACTGATTTGAAATGTCGCTTGACGTCACTTCTATGTAGATACATTTTATACGTAGAAATGACGTTTTAGCTCCCACTCCTAAACTTTGATTCGTTTTATCTTACGACATTTTATTATACGACAAAATAAAAAAATACGTGTCTAATATTTTCTCATGACCTAACTGACGGACTAATTAGATATTTGATTTTCATACCCTGTCATCATCCCAATTGACCATACCTTCCTTTTTTAAAATCGTTTCAATACAATATCGATTTAACTCGTCGAGTACCGGTTTTATAGACACAATTAAAGAACAATAGGTCGCGGTCACCGGTGACCGCTTGGTGTTTGACAGTTTAAAAAAGAAGTCAAATAAGTATCTAAAGAAAATAATTAGCGTTCTGTGTCGTCTGCTCTCTCTCTTGGGACAATATTGTCAGTATATATATTTCCTGTGCCTACATTGAACGGGATTAAAAAAAAACGAGTACATAAAATAAAAAAAGTAATCAACTTACTTTTTCAAAAAGTAGCTCTGAAAGGTAACCTGGAATATGCACTTCAGAAAAAAGCACTAACAAATTGAATAATCCTATAACTCTATACGAAGGCATCTCATTCATTCACACGGATCAATTCCGAAAAAAGGCTTTTTGACCCGATAGTACCCTCGTTCACGTCCGGGTTACAGAGCACTCGCATTACATTCATTCATTCGGTCTCCAGTTCAATATCATTCACTCTTACATTGCACGAAGCAAAAATATAAATCGAAAATGAATTTCGGTTCGCAAACTCTAGGTATATTGAATCTATATGGAATTTTCTTTTAAAGTTATGTACTTGTGGATGGAATTTTATAAAAGATAAAGATATTTAGCTTATACAATTTTTAAACGTCGTAAAAGAAGTGGAGGAAAGTTGTTAGGAATTAGATTTTTTTAAGGGGGGAAAATCATCGAATGGCTTTTCCCGACTGGGTGAAGCGGGAGTGTCAGCCTCTTACTGACTAAAAACCACCCCGTTCCTACTCCTGCACTTCGAGCCGGAGCCCCGGTAACCCGTTAAGTTCTCCGGAGCTCAAGGTGTTCGTCGATAAGTATGCATTTAAATATAGCAACGTGCACTTATATTTCACATTTTTTTTTTATACTTTATAGGTCGACGTTTGACCACTATCTCGCCTGATGGTAAGCGATGATGTGGCCGACGATGGAGCACGCCTATGAGCAACCTGTTCACTCGGGACTTGAAGACACCCAAGTCATATTTGACGGGAAACACAGCCTCTGGCAAGGAATTCCATTCCTTAGCGGTTCGCATGAGGAAGCTTGACGCGAAACGCTTCGTTCGTCTGGTGGTACGGTGGTGAAATGGACTAGGGGGAATAAGTTTGTGCAATTCCCACGCACACTCACCGAAATGTATCCAATAGAAGACCGAAAGGCTTGCAATTTTAGGCCTGTGTTCGAGGCTTTGTAGCCGAGCCTCCACAAGCGAATCGTCATTGATGAGCTTCTTGGCACGCCTCTCGATGGATTCGAGGGCCTCTAACTGGTATTTCGCTGAGCCATCCCAAAGATGGGAGCAGTACCTACTCCACACATTACATTTCCATTTAACATATTTCTATGAGTAGGCTGCGCGACATAGCCGCGCACGCTGCTCATTAGGAAGAACCCCTCTATGGTTCGAAACTAGTAGAGCTTTTCTCAGTATATTCACATGAGTGATCCGCGATTTTTAGTTAATTTAGTATGTATTATAAAAAAGATTTGTATGAGTTTCGTTGAAGTATTTGACGACCATTGTATATGCAAAATAATTCACATGACATTACTTTTAGAAACAGTTGTATATTTAAATATATACAACAAACTCGTCCCAAAATTCGATAAAAAATCTTAACCACAATTAGCTATAAAAGCGAATAAAAATATAACCCCACATGCAATAAAGGCCAATGTTTTACGACGTATGTATCCTTTGAAAGTTACTGGTAGAAACGTTAAGGAAAGCGTCGCTTCTGAACGATATAGAGAACGACATTCGCGAACGATATGAGGCAGGGAATGGTTTTGAACGATATTGAAGTTGACAGTCTTGACAGTTCAGACATGGCGCGGTGGCGACGCGCGTAAATTCAACATTTTATGTACAACTTGTGACTTTTAGTTGAATATGATTTTGTAGGGTTAATATGAAATATGTTTTATATGTTTAGTGTTTATTTGGTAAGTGGTTGGTAAGATAATATTAAATTGTCTGGCTTTTGTTATACGAGTACTTAATAATATTAGTCCCGTAGGCTTTTAGGGGCATTTTGATAGTTATCTTGTCAAAGAATAGTATTTAGTAGGCAACTAACCTGAACTCTAGCCTCCGTGAGGTTGATCTTGAGAGCGAGATCCTCTCTCGTGAACACATCTGGGTAGTGTGTCTGCGCAAACGCAGTCTCCAGCTCCTCCAACTACGAAACAAATATTATTAGAAAACAAATCTTAATTTTTAGCTACACTTGATCATCCTATCATATTTAAGAAAAATTAAATGTAGGTCAGCTGCTCTTGCGATCCTGGTAGCAAACTTAAATTTAGTAGGTAGTATATACCGTAATGCACGTCGGTTTCTATCCAAGGAAAGAGAAAAAGGTCATCGTCTCGTCAGTCGAAGAATTACAACGAATGATCACTGTTATGAATGATGCATTTGAAAGGAAAGGTATGAAAGTGAATGTGAACAAGACTAAAGTGTTCGTGATAGAAAAAATGAGGTAATAACAGAATGTCAGGTAATAAGTGATGAAAAATTGGAACAAGTGTTCAATTGTTCCAATTTTTTTTTTCAGTTCCAGTTTGTTTAACAGATTTACCAGATTGGCGATATATTAAAGAAGGGCCATTAAAGTACCCTTAACATAAGCATGCATGAAAAGATTGATGACTGTTGATGAAGCGAAAGAGGTATGTAGAAATCGTAGTAATTGGCGTTCCATAGTCTCTGCCTACCCCCATGGGAGACAGGTGTGAAGTTATGTATGTATGTATGTGTGTAAGTAAGTAAATATTATATGTATTTAACAATGTATGCAGTTGTTACCTGTTGCAGTGTGAAGGTGGTACGGTTGCGTCTCTGTTTCCGTCGCACGAACGTATCATCGTGGATCGCTGGGTGATACGAGTAACTTGTGTCTGTTGGGGAAATTAACGTTGTATTAGATACATTTTATTTAACAAGAACACATCTATTGTTAATGTTTTTGCGAGGTTGTCATAGGAGTCGATAAAAGAACAACGTGTTTAAAAGAAACAGATAAACCTGAACGTTTTAAATGGCTATTTCCAACCTAAAGCTAAACGCGGAAATTTTGGGAAATCCTAATATTGTAAGTCGCTCATCATTTAATAACAGACTGTTGATGGTGATGAGCATTGAACACTACATCCAAAAGTTAAAAGGTTTTTAAAAATATCTTAGTATTAGCATGGAGTCTGGAATTGTGTCCGGTATATGGCAATAAGTTCACGTCCTATTACATGGTACTTATAACATAAATAGTGAAAAGTGGGTGGTGACAATAGTAAAAATTGTACATTAAGTGTCGTAATATACACATCTGACTACCTCTTCGGGGATAAAAGGTGTGATATTACGCTATACCTAAAAGTCTCTTTCCTTAAATCTAAAGCTTAAAGATTACTACTTAAAGGTCACACCCTGACATTAGGCTAGCGACTAGACAATCGCTAGTGGCTGTATAGGAAGTGCCGCACCATTACACCACGAGTGCCAAGTCGCCCCAGCATTCGTTATTGCTATCTGAACGGGCCACGAATTGATGAGGTGGACACTTTGAGGGGTGGCTAGGATTTAACGGGCAAAGTGAGACAATAATAAAAAATATGAAATAAAAGATAAACTGTTTCTGTCAAAATCATTAAGGGCCGATTTTTCAATTATCAGTTAATTTTTGAATAACTTTGAATATTTGACAATTCTTCCATACTAAAAACTGTCAAATGTCAATTTTATTCTACAGTTAAAAATTAACTGATGACAAGCATGTTACTATGTTTTTATGCATTATTGATAAAATCAAATGAAAAGTCAAACAAAATATTTTATCTTAAACTAGTAAATATCGTTTTCATTGTTTGCTACGAATGTGTTACGAAGTTCGTAGCGCTGGCTACGGTAAAATATAGTTGAGATGCTTAACGTAACGCAATGATTTTAAATTTAAACAAAATTATAATAATTAGTAATTAATGTAACGTACATACACAACTGTTACACGATTGTATTCAAGTTAATTAAGTAAGTTAAGCTATTCATTTAAATAACCAAACTGTTAAAGTTTAGGTAGAAGAGCTAATAGCTTCACTTTTATTTTTTTCTAACGTTAAAAGTGCCTTTCTGGTCTAATTGAAATTATTTATATATTTTGACTTTTACTTTGACTTTGAAACACAATCTATCTACAATGAAATTGAAGTCACAAAATAGAAAAAAATATTCCCAAGAACATCCTTAAAAAAATCCATTCTCATGGTCGTCCTACAGTGACGCAATATATCGGGTGACAATAGTTAGGGCTGTCCACCCCAACGTTTTCTATTTCTATTATTCCTAGTATAATGTCGTTGGCAACATTACTTGACGAGAATTGCTCTAATAGCCGTATTAATGACGATGACTTTACTTATTTTGTCCCGGGCTATAGTTCTGTTGATTTAGGGAACGATTTGAGTAATTATGCTGTATTGGGAGCAATTTTTTTTATTCTCTCATTTTCCGGATTGTGTAAGAGTATATTTCTGTTTTCTATATTGGATTTTTTATTAGAAGAACAATGGTAAAGTGTAGATTTATAGACGGTTTATTGGGTTACGACAAGTCTGATTACTGAGCACGAAGCCTCGCGCTTAAACTATTCAGATTGTATATGTACATAGTTGGCAGCCAAAGTTCTTTAATATTTTAATTAATACTAAGGAATAGTATGGATAAAGACCTTAATGTTTTTTTTAAAAAAAAGAGATTAATATCATAATAACAATTACCAATATTGTATCATGCACTTAAAAAAAACCAAAACGCGATCTTTTAATCTCAATCAGCCAATACATAGATTAAATAATTAAAAACAAAAAACGCAGTTATAAAACTTATGTACCTAGTTTAAAAGCAAGGTACCGACAGACTAATGGAGTGAATTAATCGCTCCAATTTGTATCGTTGCGAATCACTCAACGAATTTAATTTGTGATTCGCTTAGCTCTTGATGACACAAACGCTGCTCAGTTTAATGGCTTGTAGTGTTTGTATGTAGTTTGTAGTGAACGGATTATTTAGTTTAATTTCTTTATTTAGGTAAGTACTGATGAGTTTTAAATGCCTTGTTTTTACTCGTATTTTTTATATAGTACTAACTTCTGCCCAAGACTTCGTACGCACAATCCCGTTTTTCCCGTTCCCGTTCGTGATTTTCGTTAAAAAGTAAAAAAAAAAATGATGAAAACAACATAAGTCCTTCCCATCAATTTTCATCTAAATCGATTTAGCCCACGTGTGTTATACATCGTGTAACTAACACGACTTTCTTTTATACAGGGTGATAACATGTTTATCGGTAATTGGGCCTCCGGTATCCTCACTCACACGACGAAACACAACGCAAGCGTTGCTTCACGTCGGTCTTCTGTGAGGCCGTGGTATCACTCCGGTCGAGCCATCCCATTCGTGCCGAAGCATGGCTCTCCCACACTTAAAGCAAGATTGACACAAATATTTGTTACACATTTCAAAATGGCACCGAAATGTCTCCATCATACGAATTTGAACCTAATAGCTTAAATTAATTGGTCCAATTTATATTATTGCGAAGTCACTTAGTAAATTAATTCATTTTTTGCGCTACTGTTTGTGAAGCTCAACTTTATTAAATTTTTTGTTTGATAGCATTTTGTTTCACATGATTGCAATGAATTCAATTTCAAATTGGTACCTAATGGATAGTTATTTTAAAACTATTGATGCGACTGATTGTTTAATTTGTTTTATTTTATTTATTTTCAGCCATGATCGTCCCTCTGTAGGGTAAAGGCCTCGCTACCCTCCTTCCACTCCTCTCTATGTAAAGCTTTTTGCGGCCAATCCTTGTCATAGATGTCCAGTTTGGCCCTTTTGGGCCTTCCGCGACGTCTATTGACTTTGAGCGGGCTCCACTCAGTAGTGAGTTTTGCTCATCGCTCATTTGACATGCGACAAATATGACCAGCCCAGTTCCACTTCAAACCTGCGGCTTTATGACCAACGTTAACGAATGTTTAATAAAATAATGAATTTTATTTTTCACACAATTATGTGTTGTATTGTGGTATTGAGTACCGTAATGTGCACCTCTGCCTACCCCTTCAGGGATAAAAAGGCGTGATATGAAAAATACAGTTAAGCAATTACTTGGTACTTAATTAGGGTCTACATTTTATATAATTACCCGAGGTACCTTCCCGTCCAGATTACACAGATTATAAATATTTTCATTAATTGAATGTTAATAATTGAGCGGCCATCAACTTCGGTGTAGAAAAATCCCTCCGCAACGGAAATTAAAAAGTGTTTCACATCCGGCGGAAGTGGGTCCGGTCTGAGCTTGAGTGCAGCGGAAAAAGTTGGACGAAACCGGGTGGATTAACTAGCTTTTCTGTTTAATGGAACGCTACGGTAATATTAATTCGATGTTTATAAGTTTTTATGAATTTTTCTTTGAAGTAAATTGTTTTTCTGTGTTGGGATGTAGAGGTAAAGGCGGTGCCTTTACCTAACCATTATGTTTTTATAATAACTATCGTGAGACATGCTGAATTAACTCGATGATCGATGTCGATATAGGCTGCACGACATCGCCGCGACCGAGCACGCTGCTCATGAGAAAGAGTCCCTGTGTGTCTCGAAACGAATAGAGCTTTTATCAATATATTTACGTGAGTAACTCCTAATTTTTAGTTAGGTAACTAAAAGTTATAATTATTTTATGGTTATATTGATGAGGTATCTATGCAAACGTCATAATTCTAAATCTTACTAAGTATAATAATTGTGGTTTAGAGAAACCTACCTTGTTGTTGAAAAACAAGTTTATTTAAATTTTATGAAATTCCTAGTCTCCAAAAGACCGGTAACGCACTTGTAACGCCTCTGGTGTTCCAGGTGTCCATAGGTGGCGCCGATTGCTTACTATCAGGTGATCCACATTCACATGCTCGTTTACCGGCTTATCCAATAAAAAAATATTAGAGAGATATTAAAAATATTATTCCATTTTACTGACGAAATAAAAACCCTCTGTAATTATCTACCACACATAAATTTACTTTTAAACAATGCAAATAGAAAATTAACTTTAACACGTAGCGCAGAGACGTCAGAATTGCTTAAACTAATATTCGGGAGTGTGTAACACAGGGTGTTACAATTTACATGTTAAATAGTTATGAGATGATAACAGGATAGGTGGTACTAGAAACAAGTGGCTTTCATATAGTATGAAATACAATTGTCTGTCTGTTAATATTGTGTTATACGATGTTAATGTAATTCTTATATTATGTTGTTTGGTTTTGTATCTTTTATAATACATTTTCATAAGCATTCGTTCCCGTTCGTGATGTTTGGTAAAAAGTAAAAAAACAGTATCCCATATCTGTCTCCTAGTTCTAAGCTATCTCCCCACCAATTTTCATCCATATCGATTGAGCCGTTCTTGAGTTATAAATAATGTCACTAAAACGACTTTGTACATATTATATTAGATTGACGTTTAGTGTGCTAACTACTTGAAGATGTGATATATATACCTAGGCTTTTTATTTAATGATCCTGGCACTGAATTTGGTAGTTGTTTAAAATTTCTAATTATGAGAAAACATCTTTTTAAGATTAAATATGTTAGTATTTAAAAATTACTTTAACAATGGTACAGATTAAAAACGAAACGTTTCAAATAATGTATATACCTCTAGCTTATCTGTATACATAAATGTGAGTTTATGAGCTTAATAAAAATATGAAACATTCGCGACAGGTAATTAAACACGTCCTCGTACAGAATTAATAAAGGTGATCGCACACCGCAGCGGGCGGCGCGGCGGCAACGCGCGGCCGGTGTGATTGCGAGCTAATGAGCGCTCCGCTCCGACACAACGCTGGAAATTGCCTTATACATTTTTAATAGATTCGTTTAAGCCGCTTTTTTATCCACTAGCATTTTTATCCTCAGCGCTTTAAAACTTCCAACCATCACCCCCCACTTTCAAACCCCCCACTCCCCACCACCGGGCACAAACCACCCGCAATACGTTAATAGATTTTAAAAATTAATACTTTTACGCAATTACCAACGGGCAGACTGTCATTTTGGACGGCCCTAATGAAATAACGTTACTTCATAACTTTATTAAGAATCCTTTGATCGCTGTTGTGCTAAGTAAAAAATTGTGACGCTGAGGGAGTAATCAAAAGTGACATGATACTTATTAAGTTAGCCGAAATAACCGTGTTAAAGCGACCGGCGGCGCGACTCAAAAACTATTTTATGAATAATAGATGGCGCCGCCGGCGACCAATCCCCGGGGAGCACCGCCCACCGGCGCCCGCTACCCCACAGCCCCGCGCACCCCGCGCTAACCCCGCGACACCCCCGGCCTGCCTTCTCTATTCATTAGCACATTACCACCCCTTAGGCACGCGACTCAGTTGGGGTAAGAAACTGATTTTTGCCTTTTGAGGTTTTTTCTAACCCGTTCGCCAATCCGATGAGAACTTTAGAAAGTTTCGTCTTAAGTGAACCTCGCTAAAGGTTTCATTTTGTCTCAGTGATCGTACTGACTTTTATTCGGTACATACGTGTAACCATCAGATATGGGTAATACCTACAACCTAACTAAGATAAGTGATTTAAAAATAAGTAGTTGAACGAATCAAAAGAACAGTTTACAAAAAATAGAACTCTATAAACATCTATTCAAACTTAAAATGTAACCAGCAACACCGCATTCCAAAACCATAGCAGTGCAAAAAAAATCCTGCAAAATCTTAACAATATCGATTAATCGTTATCGAATCGAATCGAGAAACATAACCGAGTTGTAAATCGGTAACGAGACAAGAGCTTTAACTAAGAATAACGTCATTAGGCTGGGAGCCGGGCCGCTAACTCTGTTACAGAAGTTTGTGCCGATAAGTGAAATCGACGCGACTCCTCGACTATAAGGTTATGCTGCCACTTGAAACTTTAAATTTTAAGTCGATTATGGACTATAAACATGGAGTTTCGATATTGTGGTATTAATTAGTTTAAGTTAGAAATATTTCAGATGTTTTGCTTTGTTATCTATCTGAGTTAGAGTTAGATGGTACGTTTTTCATAAAACATGAATTTAAGTACATTTTTTCAATATTGTTTAGGAGCCTCCTCGATTATTAAACAGTTAAATTGGCTTAAGTTTTGTCTTGTTATTTATTTACAATAAATAACTAAAGAAACATTTTTTCCATGTAGACATCAAAAGTACCAATATTCTTTTCGGTCGGTGTATAGTATGAAAAAAATATAATTTTTCGGCGATATGCAATTTTTGAGCGGAAACTATCAAATTATTACAAAACTTTAAGATTGACATCTAGCTGCTCAAGGTTCTAGACCCTTATTTCAAAAATTTAAACGAATTAAAACTATTGGTCCTAACTGACATATAACTGCACGGTTGGCGCGATGGCTGGGCAACTGGCTGCCGCGCAACGTGCCGCGGGTTCGATTCCCGCACGGAACAACTCTTTGTGTTATCCACAGATTGTTGTTCCGGGTCTGAGTGTCATGTGTATGTGATATTGTATGTTTGTAAACGCACCCACGGTACAGGAGAAAATCCTAGTGTGGGGCAATGTTTAAAAAAAAACACAAAAGAAAATTAAATTACAGCTGTCAGGTACTTACAGGGATGTGAGGCAGTGAATGGGTATTCTAGGGTGGGCAGACGATGCTGGTGCGGCGGCAAGCTGGGCGGGCAGTGGTAGCAGAACAGGCCGCGCCCGCCACCGCCACCGCTCGCCAGCTGGAACAAACACCAATGTCGTTGAGAAATCGGTACATAACCAAATTTAGGATTATACTGTAAATACTGATCTAGGTTAATGTAGACACACCAAGTGTGGCGACATGTCAATGGATGACGTCACAAGAATCCTACATCGCACATGCAAAGTTTACAAGCGAATAAACACGGATAGAAAATCCCTCGCAAAAGGCACGATCACCTCGCCTGGTCGGAGGATCCCCCTTTTCCGATCTTAGGGAACTATACACTCCGTTCCCTAAATCAAGAAACCTTAAATTGTTAAATGTCTTTATTCAATTTTTAATTGTTTGACTGCCTAACTCTTGAGATATTTTATGATTACCTGAGTACTTAACTATTTCTTAGTAATATTCAGTAGCAATAGTTTTGTTCGGAAAATAATTGTTAAGGACTTGGTTCAAAAATATTTAATGATTCTAAGAACAGCAGTAAATCTGTTAAGATATTTGGATTTAATTGAAATGAAATCTGAAAAAACTGTGAATTAATAAAACAGACCATTAACACTACTTTTCCTCAGTGAATCTAAAATAAGTAGTACTTAAGCAGCTCCTGCTTAGTGGTCTCAAATGCTCTACAAACGACACCTAAAGAAACCCCCAACCTAACCTCCAATTAATAGAAAGCGATACAAACTATTTCTAAAACGCCGCCTAACATTAAGAGTGTCACATAGCAATCGTAACGATCTAATACTATCGACATTTACATAGAAATGACACCGCGTAATAATAAGGTGACGAATCGAATCCTTCAGTGTCGCATGCGCATTGAATTTGTAGTTAGGGTGCGCACACATTGTGTTGCAGCGTTACTAACTTTCTACTACACGCGCGATTTTGTAAGAATAAAATTGGACTATGATAACTCGTACGTATCGTGACGGATATTTATTCGTACTGAAACTCTAGTTTTGTTTAAATCTTAATACTGTGCACTTTGTTATCAGTTAATACTAGTTGAGGATACACAGATGGTCTAGTATTCCGCTTACATTAAAGAAAGGTAATAAGTAACCACACGATACTAGAGGTACAAAAATAATCATCATCATCATCATCAACAGCCTATAAGTGCCCACTGCTAAGCAAAGCAACCCTTGGGAGAAACAAAGAGAAGGTTTGAGCATTAATCACCACGCTTGCTCAGTGCGGGTTGGCGATTTCAAACTTATAATTAGAAAATATTAGCCCAGGTTTTCTCACGATGTTTTCCTTCGCCATTTGTCAGTGGTAATCTTAGACAGTACATATAACTCGGAAAAAGTCACATGGGTACTTGCCGTTGGTAGGTTTCGAACCCGCATCCTCGCATGAGAAGAGGGTCTTAAACCTCCGAGCCACCACGACATACCACGACTACAAAAATAAGATTAGGTATAATAAAATAAGATTATGATGAGGCAACAAAAATTAATTTATATTGATGTAAAACTGTATTTAATTTTTTTTTAATGATTTATTAAAAAGAGTCTCTATAAAAATCGCGACATACCACGTCCAAACGCGCGTCTAAAAGTATGTCCACACCTTTAAAATTGCATATAATTGTAAAGTGAATTGAGACGGCATTCGCTTGTGATCACAGGCCGTTACTTAACCCGTGATCGGCCGCGGTTTGATTGTGTATTAAGTATGAATTGTGTCAGATGAACAGGTGATTATGGAATGTTAATCGCGCGGCATTTCGTACGTGTGAACGCAGAGGTGCGGTTTGCTAAAGCTGTCATTAAGTAATGATCTAGTTCGAATGGAGTGGATGTGGGTGTGGGTGTAGTTTTATTTAATTGTGATGGTATTGTGGATGTGAAAGTGTGTTAACACACAGTAAGGGATATTTTATTATTGTATCATGAAAATCTATGATGATATGAAAGACATTTTTTTCATATCATCATAGATTAAAAATAAAAGTAAAGGGAAAATCATCGAATGACTGCTCCCGTCTTTTTTTTTTTTTTTTTTAAGGGGGGAAAATCATCGAATGACTGCTCCCGCCTGGGTGAGGCGGAGGGGAGTGTCAGACTCTTACTGACTAAAAACCACCCCGTTCCTTCTCCTGCACGTCGAGCCGGAGCCCCGGTTACCCGTTAGGTTCTCCGATGAAAGACATTTGAATCATTTATGTAGATTATCTAGACACCGCTGACAAACGGTGAAGGAAAACATTGTAAGGAAACCTGGGCTTATAATTTCTAATTATAAGTTTGACATCGCCAACCGGCATTGAGCAAGCGTGGTAATCAATGCTCAAACCTTCTCCGTGTGAGAAGAGGCTTTGCTCAGCAGTGGGCATTTATAGGCTGTAATGATGATGATAATTATTAAAGTGTTGAGCATAATATGTACAGATAGTTTCATGAAATTACTTATACATATTCTTAGATGCTTGTTCATCAAAGATTAACTTTGATTAACAAAATACAGTATACCGATTGTACTAGCCAGCGACTGCACCGTACATTGCACGCATGCGTCATTAATGTCAGCAGTTTTTAGTTTATATATTTCATGATAATAGGCTAGTTTCCTAAATTGTATTTGAATGTCCGTCTTGTAGATTATTTTAAAACATTAGACACGTATTTTTTTCTTTTCTCACAAAATTAAATGCTTTCGACGATATATTGATTTGAAATGTCGAGTGACTTCACAGCGTGGAACCAAATGTAGCACATTGTGACGTAACTACTAAACTTAACTCCATTTTATATAAGTATTGTAACTTTATACGAGAAAATAAAAAATACGTGTCTTATACTTTTTCATAATCCAACTGACAGACTAATTAGATTTTTAATTTTCTTACCCTGGATACTACCCAATTATAGCAACCAATTCGTATTCAGTACTTAAACAGTTGTTCATAGCATCATAATACTATTTTCGTCGTCCATGTTAGTTTAGTATATCAATAGAGGTATAATATCATCTCACCAGACGTTGCTTCATAGCGACTTATTAATACAAGACTACAAGTGTGAGAATCATTCAGCATTTTCGTATACCGATTTTTTTGAATGAAGAATCAATTTCAAATTTCAATGGCCAATTGAGCGCTTTAGCAAATTAAACCATAATTCAAAGCTAGTTCTTCTTCTTAGTTATCTAGTTTGATCTTGGAGAATCTATTCAATTGTTCCAAATTTTTTTATAGCTTAAGCCGGTAAACGACCAGGCGGATCACCTAATGGTAAGCAATCGGCGTCGCCCATGGACACTCGAAACACCAAGGCGTTACAAGTGCGTTACCGGCCCTTTGGAAATTGGGAATTTGAGGATTGTAGAGAATTCGGGGATTCCGGAGCGTTATTTCACGTCGGGTTTCTGTGAGGCCGTGATATCACTACGGTCGAGCCCGCCCATTCGTGCGCAAGCATGGCTGTCCCACAGTTTCATTTACGAAACTCCACTTCAACATAAATCAGTACCCACCTAAGCTATGAGTATAAGAATGTACTACAAACCCAATTTTCCCTAATGAAATATGACAGAGAGCAATCTGTCTCTAGTTGAAGCCGTTGTAAGTAATAGACTACTTTAGTAGCACATCGATCACACAGTAAACTCGAATACAGAACATTCAAAACACATCTATCATCTTGTCGGGAGCATTTAAATGGAATTTTGTATTATAATGTCTAAGGGATCCGACTTAAAAAAAGTTAATTTTACGAAGATAACATTTTAAATAAAAAAATATATAACTGGATGAGAGGTGTAAGTAAAATTAAGTGCATCTAAACATAGTTAAGTCCATAAAATACTTTGTTACAATGATCAATTCTCTGAAGATAATGAGAGTAGTCGATGGACCACTCTTTTGCTCAAAAAATCAGACATCATTCAAATCTACTGTATTATAAAATATTATTTTTATCACATCGTCGCGCCTTTCACTCCTAGAAGGGATAGGTAGAGTGATTCAAACAATGAAACAGCTAAATGTCGTTGGCAGATCGCTGCACTGAGAAGGATACAAAAAAAATAATAAATAATGATCAGCTAATTTCAATTAAGATATTATCAGCAATTAATAATCTTTATTCTCTTTCAAATATAACGCTGTAAACAACTTCGTTAAGCTTCAGTATGCGAGTCGAGCGCACTGTGTGACAAAAGTAAGGACGTGCTGGTCATAAATCAATTAATTTCGATGAATAAATTGCTAGATTGCAGTGCAGCGTGCGACATTCCTACCACTGTGCAGCGCAGGTTCAAATGCGTCATCGGATCTAAAGGTGATATGTAGATTCATTTATTTATTAAGAAAAATAACACCGTCGTCATAGGAGTTTCATGGTAACCGAATACTCTTATAAATGTCGAATTTCATAATAACGATCATGTATGGAATTCACAAAAATACTCAAGACTATTAAACTTGTTTAACTTTTTTTTTATAACTATCGACCTACCCCGGCTTCGCACGGGTCCAATATTGGGGTCGAATATTATATTATACGGGTCCAATATTATATATTGTATTATACATATAAACCTTCCATAAAAACACTCTATCTAGTAAAAAAACCGCATCAAAATCCGTTGCGTAGTTTTAAAGATCTAAGCATATAAGATTCTATTATTTAAGTTTATTACATAACATCACGCCCTTTATCCTCAAAGGGGTAGGCAGAGGTGCACATTATACCACTGTACAATGTAACACCCACTTTTCACTATTTATGTTATGAGTCCCATGTAATAGGGGGTGAGCCTATTGCCATATACCGGGCACAGTTCCAGACTCCGTGCTACTACTGAGAATTTTTTAAAAACCCAGTAATACTTTGCCCGACCCGGGAATCGAACCCGAGATCCCTTGCTCGGCAGTCGCAATTGCGACCACTCGGCCAACGAGGCAGTCGTTGTCGTCAGCATTAAGTTTATTATTTTTTAATAAAAGTTTTACAGTACGATCGATAATGATCGTGATGATACATATGATCATAACAGGATCATATTTATGATTAGGATTAGGATCGTAGTAATTTACTTGTTTTACTCATTATGTTATAGTACCTAAGAAAGCATACTAGAGTAAGTAAGTTGATTAAAATGGTAGGTACTAAAACTGAATTTGAATTCTGTCGTTATAATATAAAATAAACAAAGACAAATATAAAAAACCATTTTCAAATTCTAAATTTAATATTACCTTATCATAAATAATCATTTACGTGTTGACATTATTCTTATTACTTTAATTTCACTTCACTTGTAGAGAGTAGTTACTAATATTATCATTGTCAATCGATATTAAACACTACAAATGAACAGAAATCATATAATCAAACTAATATATGATATCCGCGTTAATTCTAACACTAGAATATAGGTAACTGTATTTGCAAAGGAAAATGGCAATGAAATTCAATTGCACATATTATAAGGAGAGACCCACGTGTAGACGAGCCGTCGGTATAAATGACATTAATGGAGCAATGAATCGGCTAAACGATGCGCGGGCGCATTCGATGCTGCGACTGACGTCAGCACACTGTGGGCTTCTATGATTTCTCTGGAAAAAAATACTTTTAACTAGGACAAATGAATTGTGTTATATCACTACATAGTAAAAAACAAAGTCGCTATCCGCAGTCGGTCTGTCCCTATGCTTAGATCTTTGAAACTACGCAACGGATTTTGACGCGGTTTTTTTAAGAGATAGAGAGATTCTTATGGAAGGTTTTCATGTATAATATATGCATATTGCACCCGAGTAAAGCCGGGGCGGGTCGCTAGTTTTAAATAATTTAGTATACCTGTGGAAAATCATATTAACTTTCATAATATTATATGTAAAGGTGAATAGTTAAGCAATTCTCTGAACCTATTATAATCCCCATAGATTAATATTTGATAAGTTAAATTTTGATAATAGTGAAACTATCAAAGTTAAACAACATAAGGTTAATGTGAACCCATTACCTACGTAATAATGTTATGTTATAATAATTAATTCTGTTAACACTAAAATTCGTAGAAAACTGTTCGCTTCTAATACATTAAATGAAGTTTCAGCGATAATCTGGGTCGGATTATAAAACGTCAGACGAGCAATCTACTTAACGGTTACACCTTTTCATTAGAGACTAACGTGATGGAGAGGTGCCTTGTAAACTCAACAATTTGTTTTGGTAAAATTATACCTACTTTTTCATTTTGTTAACTGAACTGATTTTGAAATGTTATTACTATTAGACAAGTTGCTTTTCAGTTTTTCATGTTTACATGTTTATTTGTTAATTAGTATTATTGTCTTAGTAGGATTAATAAAGAAGTAAAAATTTTATTTAAAAAATGAATCCTAAACGAGGGAAATCCTAGTTAATGCACGTGATTAAAAGTACAAAATAATTTAGTCTGAGTTACAGTTTCTGTATTTCTATTAAATGTTACCTAATAAAACAAAGATCGCGTTATATTTTACATTTTATTTTTTGTCCACATCTAACGTCGCTTCGCTCCACAGTGCAAGTGCGTGTATTGGCTCGTCCTGTCTGCGCGCGTGGGGTCCTGATACACTAATCCTATTTATATTGTCGTGTCATTACCGCATTACACCCACCGGCCGCCGCATCCGCGCTGCAATCTAACCTTCGTAATGATATTATTTTGCAACGATGTTTTTTTTTTCAGTGAAAAATTATCACGTAATATACGAAGACTTACGCAGTGATGAAAACTCAAACTAAAGCAAGGAGGCATATATACGTAAATCCTTACAAATATCATTAACACCTAATTTTCGTGAAAAATTAAGATTATCTAATATTTACTACCACAAAATAAAGATATCTAGAGAAATGCAGACCATTTAAGCTTACATATTCATTAAATTATTTATTCATGTTTTGCAGTACTTCGCAAATGAAAATATATATGAAATAATAAAAATTTAACTATAAATTGGTACAAAAGAACGCATGTTGTTTGCTTGTTTGCAGCAAAACCCGACAATCTTAGATTTGTCGCCTAGGTCAGAGTAAACTGACTATATCCGGAATTCTCAATGGCCGCATTAATAAGAAAACTGCTCGTTGAGATTTATAAACGGATCATTATTTAATAATAGCCTCTGATAGACTGAATATCCTACTTCCAGTTGTTTTTTTAATTCTCTTTGGTATTCACACAGGCAAATCACATACAGCCACTTACGTCATTAAAAAGAATAGAATTTAAACAAAACCAGAGGAATTAGCATTCGAAATTCAAAGGATTTTTTTCTTTTTTTTCTGTATGGCACAAGCACTTCATTTCGCATTCCCATCTTGTCGAGGTGAGATTATCGTCACTCGCACAACACGGGAGGAGTGAAGAGGGCCGCTCACCCATTGTGAGTTACCGCCAAATGTGGGAACTGATGATTTATCTCGTAAACCTTTTCATGTTTATTATATTAAGAGCTTATTTTGAATTTACGGAAAGGATAATAGAGGGCCTTGATATTGTTGAAGTTTTGCTCGGAGGGTTGAGTGCGTAAGTATGAAAAGGCCTTGTTTCACCACAAAGACTATGATCATGTACACGTGTAGCGCAACGATATAGGGGAAGACATAGACTGTCATAGTCAAGCTTAAAAGAAACAAGAGAGGTTCATTTTCATCGACATAACTCAATTATAATTCTTTTGCTAGTAGATAAATAGCGTAAATCTTTATCCTTATTCCAACTTAACCTTCCAACTAAATACGAAGGTATCATTTTAAAAGTAGCGAACGTATCATCGTTTCAATGTAAACATGAACTCAGTTCAATATCGCGTGCAAACACAATTTACTCTGAAATCGTATTTGTACCGTTTAATTTGGTATCGAGTACGATTTAATCAATTAATCGACTCAAATCGAGTAATTAAGTATCGGTAAACCCTTAGCTGTTAATGTATTAATTAGCCTTTAGCGAATTGTATTTATTTTTCGATGAATGAAAGGGGGAATTGAGGGCGCGTGATCTTTGTTTATTCTCGTACTGGTATTTTAATATTTATGTTTAAATTTCTGTGCAGAGATGGATATAAAATTTAATTAATTAACCTACGAATTATGGAAATATAAATGTATATTACCTAATTTATTTTAACATGTCGATTAAGGGACTATTTTATTATACAGGGATCAGACAGCCGCATATTCCGATAAAGCTGAATTTTAAAGTGTGATCTTCAATCCCGCCTGCTAAGAGCCCATAATTGAGCATTGCACTGATAATCTAGTGTTGATTGATAGAATTTCTTTTTTTAACATATAGACATACACATTATTTACACACAACATCTTTTTTTGGGTGAAAAATCATCCAATTGTTTCTCCCACCTATGGTGAGGCGAGAGCAAGAGAGAGCGTCAGAGAAAGATGAAAGAAGGAAAAGAAACTTGTCTTTAACTTTCGTTATGACCTTTAGTTCAACTTTACAAGAAAATATAATATTACTATTACTCAGTACTGAGCTGTACCTACTCCATTAAAATGTTAATGAGTGGAAATTTTAGTGAATTGAAATCGCAATGCCAGTCGAAGTACACTTTATTGAATTTCAGTGAAATTCATCCGCGCACAGGGCTGCCACCACTTATAATATTGTTAATTTGAATAATTTCATTCTGTGAAAGGTGCACTTGTATTTATTTAACTTTAACTATTTTTACGTTTCTCACGTAAATATGAGTGCAAAAAGCTCTACTGAATTTCAAGTCACAAAGGGACTCTTCCTCATGAGCAGCATGCGTGGTCGCGGCGACGTCGCCCTCAATATATTTACATGAGTATATATAACTGTTGATTTTAAGAAGTGGATTATTAAAATAAACTGTTTAGAATACAGAAAAATATAGTTTTATTGAGCAAGACTGTTACATACAATATTGTCAATCAGAGACAAAGCGCGGGAGAGAGAATAAAAAAAATGTTGCCAACCTAACAATTACAATTATTGCCAACAGAACAAAATAAAGGTTGCGTTCTCAAATACCAACAATAACTCTTGATTTTTAGTATCAGTATGTCTCTCGATAGTTATTATAAATACAAGGTATTTATTTACGTGAAAATGTGTAGCTTAAAGTTGACGTCTTTAGTTTTTCCATTGTCTGTATCCTTGAATGAATGATTACACGGTTACATGAAACATTCTTGTTTATTAAATTAATTGATACTTTTGGAACGTCAACAAATACAAAATAAATTATAGTCTGTCAATCTGTCCGTCCGTGAAGCTAGGTGTTCTTTCAAAAATGTAGATTCGAATGGAGAAGAACGTGCAAACAACTGCATTCGTTAACCTTTAAAAAAAATGACTGATATCCGTTTGTCAAAATCTCTTAAATTTTAAGGAATCCCTTAACTGAAATGGTATTCAACGTCATTTTCGTTTTCATCAACCTAGGTGACACCTAATAGTACAATTAAGAGGTTAGTTTAAATGCTACGTAAGGTTTAAAGGTAGTTAGCGAGAACAGCCATAAGCATTCAGGACCTAACCCAATACAAAACCCAATTTAAAACGAAACAAACAAACATTAACAATAACAAATGAAAAACAATAATAAAAAATTCAATTCAATTGAAATAAATTATTTTACGATTCGAACCCGCTCGGTGGCAACTTACAATCAATAATATTTAATCACTGTGCCTCTGCTCCATTGATATCGAACTTTTACCAATTGTAACTGAGATCGATTGAACAGTTTAAATTAACTATTAATAGCGGGCAATGGTTCAATCGGGGCGCGACAATCGAATCGATGGAATAAAAAATATCATCTTTTGTGCTGTTTAAAAACGGATTTGTGGAGGTTTTGTGTTTTATTTAGTAAAGGTCACAGCTAGCAGATGCAGGTCGCTTTGGAGGTATTAGAGTGCACCCATGTTCAGTATAAGACGCAAGAGTGAATAGGAGGCAAACTAGCAGACGGATCACCTGATGGTAAGCGATCAGCGCCGCCCATGGACACCCGCAACACCAGAGGAGTCAGGAACAGGAGGAACAGAACAGGAGGAGGAGGAGAGTTTATTTATTTATTTTTAAATGCTTTGCCCCACACTCGTATTTTGCCCTGTATCGTGGATGCGTTTACAAACGTACAATTTCACATACACATCACACATGAAACAAGAATTTGTGGATCACACAAAGAGTTGCTCCGTGCGGGAATCGAACTGGCTACACGTTGCACAGCAGCTAGTTGCCCAGCCACCAACCGTGCAGTTGCATTGTGACGATGATGGTGAAAATGAACCATGCTTGATCAAAGCAGGACAAAATATAAAGAGGTCTTACAATTCCTAAAAGCAGGGATGATAGTAAATGTAAAAAAAAACATACAAATCCATATTACACGATTTTTTCAATTTTTGTATTTGCTTTCCTAATGAATATAAGTTATATTTTCACTGTTAGGACCACAGAACATATAAAGAAA